TCGTTGATCATTAAGTTCTTGTAATTCTTTAATTTCATTAGATGATTCTTTGGAATGAGAAAGTTGTGACTTTAAATTTATGATCTCCTCATAATGACTTTTTATTTTATCATTGAGTTCTTGTAATTCTTTTTGATGACTAGTTTCTAATCCTTTACGAAATGAAATCATCGATTGTTCACGATCTGCATCATATTGTTCTTTGAGATTTCGTAATTCCTCTTGATGAACATTAATAATTAGTTCTTTGTCTCTTTTATGTTGTTCGGTTAGATTAACAAGTTCTTCATTATGTCGTTGTTGTTCTTTATGTTGTTGTTCGATTGAGGCTATTATCGCTTCTTCAGCATTTCCTTGAGAATCATTGAAATGAGAGAAAGAATTTTTTAGATCTGAACTTCGATCAGTGGGAGTTGTTAATGCTGTACTAACTGTATCTATACTGGAACTTTGAGAATTTTCTGATAAACGTTTGGTTTTTGATGAACTATTATGTTTTTTGTATTGAAAAATATCATCGATATTACTTGAAGAAGAAGCATCAGAAGTTCTCATTGATTTATCTTTAGTACTGGAAAGTGAATCAGAACCATTATTATATTTAATGGTTTTTCCTGAATTATTATCAGATTCTTTATTAACCGTCGTCTTATTATTATTAGAGGTTCGAAATTGAATTCTTGAAGAAGAATCAGAAGTTTGAGATCGTGTTTCTGAAGTTCGAGATTGAATCTTTGAAGAAGAAGAAGGTTGTGGTATTGAAGAAGTTTGAGTTCGAGATTGAGTTTTTGAAGAAGAAGGTTGTGGTATTGAAGAAGGAGAAGTAGATTCCGTATTGGTATTATTATTATTTATTGTTTTTATTATTTATTATCTTTATTATATCAGTTCTTTTCGTTATTCGGCATTATTTATATTATTATCCATTATTATTTATTATTATTTATTTATTATTTTTATCTTATATTTTTATTTTATTTTTATTTTTTTATTTTTTTATTTTTTTATTTTTTTATTTTTTTATTTTTATCATATACTCCCATTTATTAGTTCAATTGAAGTTATTTACAATATGCGCATGTGAAATTTTTTTCCTTTTTTTCAATCCCTGATGCATTTGGTAAACAAATTAATTTCCTATGGCAGTTAGTTTGAGTATTTTTTCTATTCCTTCTTGTATTCCAAAATCATTTATTATTTTGAATTCCTTATTTATATGAATTATTGATCGAAATTTTAATCTGATTAAAAAAAATATAATTTAACTGACTGACTGACTGTTAATTTAAAGTTTGAATATTTGAAAATCATAATAAATCATATCCTAAAAATTTTTTAGAAAACAAAGAATACGTATGCAAGTAAAAATAAACGGATACAGATAATTATTATTTTACTATTAGAATGAACTTATTTTGAATTATATCATTTATCCTTTGTTATTTTTTTATCGTTATTCGATAAGCAATATTTACTAATCAATATTCATTCATTCAATTCATTCAGGAACCCATTTTCCATTCCCTTTGATGTGCAACCAGTTCAGTATGTTATTAAATATTAAATATAATAAAATAAAAGTAACTAAAGTAAATATATAATTCCAAATAAATTTAACAATGAAATAATAAAGAAAAAAATTTTTTTTGCATGCAATTTACTTTTCTTAATTCACGGTAATAATTATTTTCTTACCTCTAATGATTAATTAATTTTGTTAATTAATACATTGTTTAAAGCGGAAATTTATTACTTTATTGAGTAGGTTAG